CCCCAGGGCTGCTCACTGGCTCCAATCCCATTTGCTTAGCAGCATGACTGAACTGCAGCCTTTATTCCTCAGCCTTTCCTCCAGGATCCCCTCTCACCCCTTCCATGATCTGAGGGGAAACGCCCGGCGGGGGGCTGAAGGGAACGTCGTGCGGACCCACTGAAGGGATGACATGGTACGCTAGTGGTACCACAGGATCACTCTGTTTGGAAAAGACCTTCAAGATCATCAAGTCCAACCACTACCCTAACTCCAACTCTGCCACATCCATCACTAAACCCTGTCCTCTGGCACCACATCTGTCTTCTTAGATGTCCCCAGGGATGGTGCCTCATCCACCTCCTCAGACAGCCTGGATCACTAAGTCCAACTCCCACCCCAGAACAGGACAAGCCCAAAGGTCACACCATGTCCCTGAGGGTGTTGTCCAAGTGTTTCTTGAATATTGTCAGGCTTGGTGCCATTACTGCCTCCCTGGGGAGCCCATTCCAGTGCTCCACCAACCTCTGGGTGAAGAATCTCTTCCTAATGTCCAACCTAAACCTCCCCCTGCACATCTTCCCACCATTCCCTTGGGTCCTATCATTGGTCACCAGAGAGGAGAGGTCAGCACCTACTTCTCCTCCTTCCCTAATGAGGAAGCAGGAGCTGCCATGAGGTCTCCCCTCAGTTTCCTCTTCTCCAGGCTGAAGAGACCAAGTGCCTTCAGCTACTCCTTTTATGGCTTCCTCTCTAAACCCTTCACCAACCTCATGGTCTCCTTTGGACACTCTCTAGTTGGTGGTGCCCTGGGCTCCCCTATTTCTCACCCTGAAGCCCATGGATGCATCCAGTCCCTGTGACCCTGGGAGAGCAGTGCTGGGATTGTCTGCAGTGGACAGCCCTGCACCGAGCACTGCTGGCCTCTGGAAGACACCACGGGCCCAGTCTGGATAACTGGTGGCTTGCTGTCTCCTTTGAATGGTCTGGTTTTCCTGCTTCTCCTGTACTTCACTCCTCTTTTTCATTCTCCTTTCCTCTTCTATTGAAACAGGGAAACAGTTGCTATTGCCCTGCCTCTGGTAAGTGCTTCTCCTTTTGCTACAGATTTTGACGCATTTTTCCCCGAAGACACAAGCTGTTTTAATCAGGAGCAATCAGCCATGAAAACCAGATTAATTAAAGAAACAAGTTTATGTATTTTCCTAATGACCTGAAATGAGCAAGAGGAAAGCTCTACACTCTTCTAGTTACATGGTTCTTTGTCTGCAACAGAGCACTGGAGAGTGTCGCTGATCTGAGAAGATGCTGCTGTCTCACCATTGATCTCCGGCTTGAAGAACGAAGCAGCTGATTCAGAACCTACTGCAGCCTTTGGAAATGGACATTTTGGTCTCTTTTACCATTTACATTGCAATTAAGAGCCCTGCTCTCCAGCTTCTCTAAACCATGGCATGTGAACCCCACACACCTTTCCTTGACTCCATTCACAATGTAATTAATTCTGATTTGTCATTCGGCTGCTGCCACTTCTGTTGTCCTGAAGACCACTGGCCACCATCAGGGGGTGGGGACAAAGCTCCATGGGACTGTCTGGAGTAACCACCACTCCTGGTGTTCCTGTTTCTAAGGCTTTTAAAAGTGTCATGGTCAATGCAAACCCCACTGAACTTCAGGGTGGGTGTAAAGTCACTGAACAAATGATACCACGTGGTGCCAAAATGATGCCAAAAGGGTATCACAAGGGCCCTGAGCTGATGAGGCCACGTCATGTGAAATGGTATCATGGATAAAGCCACTAAATAAATGCTGGAACCTGTGTAAGTTCTGCAACCAGCCAATCTGATGTCACAAACACCTTCAGGGAGTAAATGATGTCATATGGTTCCAAGCGATGCCCTAAATGAAGCGACTGGTAAATGGTCTGTACTGGAAGATGTGGTGAGTGTGGTGAGATGAAGAAGATTATTTTAACTAAGTTAGTGTAATATTAGTCTATTCTGCTCTGGTGAGACCCCACGTGGGGTACTGTGTCCAGTTCTGGAGCCTCAACACAAGGAGGACATGGAGCTGTTGGAATGAGTCCAGAGGAGGCCACAGAGATGATCCCAGGGCTGAAGCAGCTCTGCTCTGGAGCCAGGCTGGGAGAGTTGGGGTGTTCAGTGGCAAACACAATGCTCATCCTCTGCTTTCCTATTCAAGATTTTAAAAAGAGATGCATTTATATTTAGCCCACCAGTGCTGCTCACACACAACTGGGTAAAAAAGCTGTTACCTGGATGCTGAGGTCAGACAAAACTTCAGCACTCTTCAGCACCTCTTCATCAGCACTGATGAGAGAGTGTAACAAGCTGCAGGTCTGGGCAGATGTCAAAATGTAACTTTCACATTGGGTCAAAAACTTCAGTAAATTCCATCCTCTTTCTACCTGGAGAAGATGGTGTCCAGAGATTGCTCCTGAGCTAAATCGTCCCGGGATTCTATTTTAACTCAGATTTTATTAATAACAGTTGACTTCTTGTGTCCCCAGAGCTCTGATGTTACTAGAAAGGTGAGCAGAAGCCCTGCCTTACACAGAGATTTTCCCTCTGAAAAGCTAAACTACATCTGAAGAAACTGCAGAATTTGGTAGTTTTTCACTCAGGAGCAGGACACCAGTCCCAGAGCATAAATTACTAATCATCCAGGTTTAGTTTAGTTTGGGTAGTACCTGCAATCACTTGTTGATTAGGAGAAATCATGAGAGGTTTTTTTCAGATTTATGTGCCAAGACCAGCAAAAACTTGTCTCTTGCTCCATGTTCCTGTGACACACCAGCACCTCCAGCCTCTCCTGTACGTGTTTTCTTCCTCCCACTGCCTGGGAGAGGGGTAGTTGGAGCTGGCTCTCTGCTATCTCCATGATCTGCTGGCTGGCAACTGCCTTGGAGAGATAACAAATGCCTGAAATACTGGAAAAGTTTTAATCAGACCCTGCAGATCTTCCCATGCTGAGGAGCAGACCTGCAGGAAAGCACACAGGTGTGTCCCCACAGCCTCTCTGGGCACCACAAAAGCCTTTTGACCATTTGGATAGGGGAAAAAAAAAACAACACAAAAACCAAACAACCCCCTCCCCCCCCCCAAACACAACAAAAACCCAATTTATTTTGTATTAACAAGGCACAAGTTGTGAAGTGTGAGGTTTGAAATAAGATGTGAGGTGTTAAGTCAATTCTCAATTCAAACTCAATTCTGCCTTTTTCTATCTGGAGAAAAATGATGTCCAGAGGTTGTTCCTGAGATAAATTGCCCTGTGATTTTATTTTCAGTTAGATTTTATGAATAACAGCTGAATCCTTGTAACCCCAGAGGTGCTGATGTTACCACAAAGAAGGTCAGCAGTCAGGAACAGCCCCTGGGAAGTGAAATAAAAGCAGATGCAAAGAGTTTTCTCCAATGCTGAAGCCTCTGGACTAGAGGTCTCAGGGCAGGACCAGGTTGCCCCAGCCCTGAGTCACAATTCCCCTGAGGAGAGGGAATGGCTCCCTGGGCTGCCATGGAGCGTGGCCTCCTCTCCTGAGGAGCTCCAGCTCTGCCAGGAGCCCTGCTAGGTGTGGTATGAAAACTCTTTGCCTGCCTGGAGGGAGCTCTGATGCTGCTGCTGGACTTGAGTTTCAATCCCCTCCGCTCTGGGATTCCCAACACAAGGACATGGAGCTGTTGGAGCAAGTCCAGAGGAGGCCCCGGAGATGCTGGGAGGGCTGGAGCAGCTCTGCTCTGGAGCCAGGCTGGGAGAGTTGGGGTGTTCAGTCTGGAGAAGAGAAGGCTCCAGGGAGACCTTAGAGCAGCTTCCAGTGCCTGAAGGGGCTCCAGGAAAGCTGGGGAGGGGCTTGGGACGAGGGCAGGGAGGGATGGGATGAGGGGGATGGATGAAAACTGGAACGGGAGATTGAGGTGAGACATGAGGAGGGAATTGTGGAGTGTGAGGCTGGTGAGAGCCTGGCCCAGGTTGCCCAGGGAAGCTGTGGCTGCCCCATCCCTGGCAGTGTTGAAGGGCAGGTTGGATGGGGCTTGGAGCAGCCTGGGCTGCTGGGAGGTGTCCCTGCCCATGCAGGGGTGGGACTGGATGGTCTTGAAGGTCCCTTCCAACCCAAACCAGGCTGGGATTCTCTGATTTCTACGACTTTCCTGGCGACGCGCGCTCAGAAATGCTTGAAAGTGACTTATTTTAAGGAAAAAAACCCAACAACCTAATTTTCAGGGGTGGGAGCCCGGGCTGCAACGAGCAGCTGGGGGAGGCAAAAACCCCCGCAACCCCTCGGGGAACG